GAGATACCTTCATCTGATCGATTTTTGAAGGCAGCATAGATGTATCCTTCACCTTTGATATCCCACGATCCTGTGCGTTCCACTCCGTGATGGCTGAGCTAAAAAATAAAGATGGCGTCTGAAAGTTGCATTTGGTGGTCAGTTTGTGTGTAAATGTATATTTCTGACTAAAGTTTTGCACTTTTGATGTTATTTCTAGCGAGAAATTAGTATTATAGTAATTAAATATTTGTTTAGTTGTCACCAAAACTCATTCTATTTTGTTGTAGATCATTAAACCGTTATGCTGTCTCAGAAGCCTGTCCGAAATCAGTTTCATGAGGTGCCTTAGTGCAAAAACGCTGCCTGCAAAGTCATTGCCTCATAAGGCAGCAAGTCAGCTGCCTAGGCTTTCGGACGCAGCTAAAGTGTTCTAAGTGGCTTTAACATCATCTGTGGTTGCTAGACTCTTAATGGGGGTTGTTAGGGTGTTGCTATGCAAGTTCTACAGTGTTCTATGTGGTTTTACCATGTTATGTGGTTGCTAGACTGTTATTGGTGGTTGCTAGGATGTTGCTATGCAAGTTCTAAAGTGTTGTAAGTGGTTTTAGGAATTTATGTGGTTTCTAGGGTGTTGCCATGCGATTTCTAAATTGTTCTAAGTGGTTTGACCATTTTCTGTTGTTGCTAAATGGTTATTGGTTGTTGCTAGTGTGTTGCTATGCAAATTCCATTGTTCTAAGTGGTTTAAGCAATTTATGTGGTTTTTAGGGTGTTGCTGTGCGATTTCTAAAGTGTTTAAAGTTGTTTCAACACCTTGTTATGTGGTTCCTACTGTGTTATAGGTGGTTGCTAGGGTGGTGCTATGCAATTTCTAAAGTGTTCTAAGTGTTTTAGCACATTGTTTTATGGTTGCTAGAATGTTATAGAAGGTTTCTAGGGTGTTTCTATGCTGTTTAGAAAGTGTTCTAAGAGGTTTTAGCACTTTGTTATGTGGTTTTTAGGGTGTTGCTGTGCGATTTCTAAAGTGTTTAAAGTTGTTTCAACACCTTGTTATGTGGTTCCTACTGTGTTATAGGTGGTTGCTAGGGTGGTGCTATGCAATTTCTAAAGTGTTCTCTAAGTGTTTTAGCACATTGTTTTATGGTTGCTACAATGTTATAGAAGGTTTCTAGGGTGTTTCTATGCTGTTTAGAAAGTGTTCTAAGAGGTTTTAGCACTTTGTTATGTGGTTTCTAGGGTGTTGCTATGCAATTTCAAAAGTGTTCTAAGTGGTTTTAGAACTTTGTTTTGTGACTGGTAGAATGTTATGGTTGGTTCCGAGGGTGTTGCTATGCAGATGTGTTAGCACTTTGTTATGTGGGTTCCAGGGTGTTGCTGTGCAATTTCCAAGGTGTTGTAAATTTAAAAAGTCAAAAATTGACCGTAACACCAGGATCTTTACAGTTACAGTTACACCCCTTTAGTCTTGAAGGTGCATAATTATGTTTCATCAGTGTAGCAGTGTAATTTAACAGTGTTTATAATGATAGAAATAATAACTCCAAGGCACAGCTTTGATGGACACTATCCTTGACCCTTAATTTTCATACTTGACCCGTGATTTTCAAGTCTTCCTAGCAGGATGTTAAGGTCAATGGGGTCAACTGTGTGCTGAAAGCTGCAAAGAGATCCAGTAGTGCTACAAGTGAGATAAAGCCATGGGCAGTGTACAGTGATATGTTATTGACTACTTTGACAAGCGCTGTTTTAGTCTTCAGCAACGCTGTTTCAAATCATATGTCAGTGTCCACTAACAGTTTGAGTGTAGACAACAACTCCATTGAGAACAAACAGCTTTCTGGCGTCCATCAAGCGTTGGGCCTCTTCTCACTGTATGTGCTCTCTCTTGGTAACAATTTGTGTGCATTACATTGATTACCACTAATAAGGACATGAAATCTAATCAAAATTGGATAAGTAAGTTCCTTGGTATTTTTTTATTAGATGTTTATGGAATAGCTTTAATCTTTTATCTAACTGGGCTGTTGTTTGAAAACCACATCAGCAGTAACTGTAGAACTGCTTTCTCACATATGCAATGCCACTTAATCGTAAAGTTCCCTAATGATATTTAAAATCTAGTCCACGTTTTTTCTCTTCATCTAAATTACAAATAGGATACAAATTGTTGCTGTTGATGTGCAAAGTCCTGAGTGACGTGGCAAAAGAGTCTGTAGATGACCTCTTAACCTGCTACCAACCCCCACATTTGCTCACAAGATACCAGTTTACGCACAGTCTGGAGGGTAATGAAATAATCTGTATTTTTCATGTCAACCCTGTTACTTTGGAACTGCACTTTTTAAAACAGTGTTGTGGTTATATTCAGATTAAGATTTTTTATTTATTTAGTCCAGCATTTTCTTCCCTCTTATATATTTATATTTATTCTAATTACATATCAAGGAGATCCAATAGTACTACCAGTTACAGCACTGGTCAGTGGACAGTAATCTGTTGTGGAATACTTTGACAGGTGCTATTTCAGTAATTCACCAACTAACACTGGTTTATAAATAGATAGTTAATAATATGTGACCCTGGAGCACAAAACCAGTCTCAAGTCGCTGGGGTATATTTGTAGCAATATAGCCAAAAAAACATTGTATGGGTCAAAATGATCCATTTTTCTTTTATGCCAAAAATCATTAGGATATTAAGTAAAGATCATGTTCCATGAAGATATTTTAGTATATTTCCTACCGTAAATATATCTATATCAAAACTTCATTTTTGATTAGTGATATGAATTGCTAAGGACTTTATTTGGACAACTTTAAAGGCAATTTTCTCAATATTTAGATTTTTTTGCACCCTCAGATTCCAGATTTTCAAATAGTTGTATCTCGGCCAAATATTGTCCTATTATAACAAACCATACATCAATGGAAAGCTTATTTATTCAGCTTTCAGATGATATATAAATCGAAATTTCTAAAAATTGACCCCTATGACTGGTTTTGTGGTCCAGGGTCACATATGTCATCTTTTATTTTAATAGTAATAATTTATTAATAATAATTGGTTTTATTTCATTGTTTTTATTAATAATAATTATTATTAAATGACAATATTTCTTATATCTTATATTTATTAATAATAATAATAATAATATATTTTTATTAGTGCTGTCAAACGATTAATCGCATCCAAAATAAAAGTTTTTGTTTACATAATATATGTATGTGTGCTGTGTAT